TATATATATATATATATATATATATATATATATGTATGTATACACACACACACACACACACACCCCACACACACACCCCCACACACACACAGAGGAATATAAAAGAGCCATAAAAAGAGAGTGAAATCTTGCCATTTGCAACAATATGGATGGACCTGGAGGGTATCCGTGAAATAAGCCAGAACAAGACAGATAGCATATGATTTCACTTATATGTCAAATCTAAAAAACAAAACAAGTGAAAAAACTAAACAAAGCAGAAACAGACTCATGGATACACAGAACAAACTGTTGCCAGAAGGGAGGGGAGTGGGAGAATGGACTAAATAGGTGAAGGGAATTAAGAGGCATAAACTTCCAGTCATAAAATAAATACACAGGGATATAACGTACAGCACAGAGAATATAGTCAACAATGTTGTAATAACTTTGTATGGTGACAGATGGTTACTAGACTTATTGAGATCATTTTGTAATGTCTATAATTGTCAGAGCCACAATGTTGTATACCTGAGACCAATACTGTATGTCAACCATGCTTCAATAAAAAATAAATATATAAAATATAAAAAAGATTTATATATATTTAACATCTTTATTGGAGTATAATTGCTTTACAATGGTGTGTTAGTTTCTGCTTTATAAAAAGTGAATCAGCTATATGTATACATATATCCCCATAACCCCTCCCTCTTGCATCTCCCTCCCACCCTTCCTATCCCGCCCCTCTAGGTGGTCACAAAGCACCGAAACTGAGTTATTTGTAGTGAGGTGAATGGACCTAGAGTCTGTCATACAGAATGAAGTAAGTTAGAAAGAGAAAAATAAATACCATATGCTAACACATATATATGGAATCTAAAAAAAAAAAAAAAAAAAGGTTCTGAAGAACCTAGGAGCAGGACAGGAATAAAGATACAGACATTGACAATGGACTTGAGGACACAGGGAGGGGGAAGGGTAAGCTGGGATGAAGTGAGAGACTGCATGGACTTATATATACTATATATTTTTAAGAAGAAAAGAAATTTTGTCTTCCTTTAATTTCCTGGTACAATTTTTGTTGTTATTAAAATAACATCAATGTATTAAGTTATCCAGTAAATCATGGGCCAATTGGGTATACTTGGATTCACTGCCTAAGTTTCAGCTCTTCATGGGGTTCTGGAAAGGCCGTGCGGTTGCTGGAAAGGCTAAGGAAGTACAGCAGTATTGAGAAAACTGTAAGGCCCTTCTCTGTGATCTCTAAATACACAGAGAGCAATAGCAGCTATTTTCTATAAATTTGAGTCCAACAACTCAATGACGGTCTTTTACTGACCACTACGTTCCTTTTAGTTCTTTAAGATATTTTTTTCTTAATCAGAAGTATGATTTAGAGTAAACAAACAAGTGGGAGAAGAGGAAAATATAAAATATAAATTGCCTGATATACATTATAAATATACTTTAAAAACAACGTATAGTTATTTGAAGAACTTCTACTATTTAAAATAATGCTTCTATATTTGGCTATTTAAACCTATGCCTAAATTTTTAGATTCAGAAATGCAAGGAAACCAGCACTTAGAAGAGGTGATCAATACTTAGAAGGCTTCAGAATTAGTTAAGTATCTCTGAGGAAGAGATTATGAATTGCTCAATATTACCCACAGTAACTTTTAGAAAATAATGTAAAATACACATTCAGCTGATAATGTGTAGGTAATATCTTGTTTACATATTTCAATTAATATTGAACAAATAGGGGTTCATGCCCTCCATAAGCCTAAGGGACTGTGGAACATTCAGCACCGCACTTGAATTCTGAAATGTTGGCAAATTAGGAACGTTCCCTTGCTTGTTCAATCATTTATTCATTTAATTCACAAAACATGAATTGAACATATGTGATACTAGGTTCTGGGTAAAAACCAGCAGTCAAGACCAAAGATAAGACACTTGTCTTCATGGAGCTTCATTTAGTAAATGATACTGTTGGATTCTAGTACTGGGGAGATGGCTTGATGGGGAAAGTGATCCAAATAAAAACTTTCAATCCTGGCTGCACCTCAGAATCAACCGGGAAGCTTTAAAAAGTGCATAATCCTGAACTCTATACATAATGATTCTGGTTCTGTAGATTGTGGGTGGTGTCTGGAAATCTATACATTTATAAAGGTCCCCAAATAATTTGGGGGAACCACAGGTACCTTTCAATGCTAAGATTTTACAATACTAGGACACTCTTT